CACACACACACACACACACACACACACACACACACACACACACACACACACACACACACACACACACACACAACTCAACCCATCCTCTAGTTTAAACTCCACCCCTTACGTTCTCTCCACAGTATAATAACCACGCGAGCGTTAAACAACCTCACACACACACACACACACTTCCAACCCCAGGACAAACAGAGACTCTTCTGTCATCTGAAACCAGAGAAGTTAGCATTCCCCTGTCAAGGCCTCAAATAAAGTCCCAAATTCTTGCAGAAATAATCCAAGTTCCCAGTGGGAGTGCAAACCTATACCCTGTTCCTCAGTGGCTTCCCCCTYAAGGTGGACAATCAGGGTCTTTGTGAAGCCAGGTGGATGCCAACAGGCTGACTTTGGAGCAGGACCCACCTACAATCCCCCTCAGTCCAGCAGCTTGAGGCTGATCTGATCAGCTGCACCATGGAGACWTTTGAGGATGGACAGAATACACCAGAAAATCCTAGATATTTCTTTTCTTCTTTTGAGGATTAAACAACACAGTGGATTTAAGGAGGAATCAGAAGAAACACGATTTCTCCACAAAGAGGTGGGTCAGTTGTTTTCTGTAAACCTTTGTTTTTAGCCAGGATGTACCATTATAAAAGCATTACTCTGCCTTTCCATTATTTTTAAACCAAAGAGAAACAACACAGTGGTCAGGAATAAGGTTATAACAGCTGGAATTAAAGGAAAAWTGTTCCTTAAATCAATGACTGAAATTGATCTCAGAGGGGTGTTGTTGAAAAGAAGTTAACCTGAATTTTGTTGCATCCTTTCCACTACACTCTCACACAAAAMAAACAGTTTCTGACATTACTGTTTATTTTAATGTCCTAGTTCTGTCTGTATGAAAGCTTAAAGACCGTTCATTCATACTGTAGTTAGTGTGGTGGCAGTCAGTGAGTCACTTCAGGGAATTAGACAGGATTCAATATTAAACCACTTAACATGCTTTATTTCAGCATTCAAAATAATTAAAAACATCTCAATTTATTATACATATACAAAATAGGTACAGATCCTTGTGGTGTTTTCCCCCATTGGTGTGGCTTTCAAACTCACAAACTTTTAACTGATATCTTTCTTTCTGGAGCATATTTAAAGATTAGATTTTTGGTGGTGAAAAGTCACCTGTTTCAGGAAAAAGAAATTAAAAACAGATGCATGAAGACAGATGCATTGAAGCTGGGATTTCATTTTTAGCACCAAGAAGGCCGTGCTGTGCTATACCAGACTAACTGTAACACTACACAACAGCATCACCATACTGGACAGCCAGCAGACCTCAAAGAAACAATAGCACCTTATTTGTTTCTGCTTCTGTTAAAAGTGTCAGTAAACCTCCAATACCCCACCGACTGCCACAACTAAAGCAGGCTTCACTTCAGAAACACTTCACCTCTCTTAGAACTGGAATTAGTTTCATTTTTGAGGTAGCCGTAACATTCTTTCTTTAAAAAAAAAGATTTAAACTCGTTTCTCTGCTGCTGGTTTTAATGTGACTTTTCTTTAAACAAAAAATAAAACAAAGGAGAAACAGAAGATCAAAGAAGAAAGTGACCACAAGAACAAACAAATCCCAACAGCTGTAGCACCTGCAGATGGTGTTGTGGGGGAGGTGATGTCAGCCCTGGTGGGGCAGGTGGAGCAGAGGAGGGCACAACAACAAAGACAAAAGTGGCTGTCAGTTTCACCGTTTATTCATCAACACCTGAAATGTGGTACAAAGCAATTCTGTCTGTTAGGGCTGTCCTTTCATTCCTCAGAGGTGTAGAAAAATACAAAAGTCAGCTGTGTTTCTGTAAACTCCAGAGAGGCCTGGTTTGGCTGGAAGAAGTTGGGAGGGTTTTGTTTTTTTTTACACTTTACAGAGACATATATTATTTTCTTGTTGCCAGTGAAACCAAAAGTCTTCTCTACAGGATCCGTGGTGTTGGTGATGGCAAAAAAACGGAAGAAAAAAAAAAGTCCAAACGAAAAAACGTAGTGGTCCCAGACATAGCGATGCAGACACAGCCACACCGCCGCCATCTTGTTGTTGAAGAAGTGCAGGTTTTAAGCAAAGTGGACCATCAGAACAACAGCCAAATGGAAACTTGTAGAATCAGGACGAAGGGGTCAGATTTTTCAAACAAGTGGCATAAAACAAGTGTTTTGTAGGGGTTTCTTTTTGGGGCGAGATGACTGCTAGAAAAAATAAAACACACGCACGCACACACACAACAACACTTTCAAGTCCAGATTTTTCTTTTTACAAGAAACAGACAGGTCCAACTTCAAGGCCAAACTCTTGGTCTGGAGCACCAACGTCCATAGGAGCAATATCAATGATGGGCAGGCGAGATGTTTTTGATGTCTTGTAGTCAATGACTGTCTTGCCCCATGTTCCGGTGTGTGACTGGAAGAAATAAAAAAAGAAAATTAGTGTCAGAAATCAAAATGACTGAATACATCTGGCTACTTACCAAATTTTACCAGATGCCACAACTGAAACACTTTAATATTGAGACCAACTAAACAACTATTTACATCATTTTCCAACGAAACAGTGCACTTTTAACTCAAAACCTTTGAGCCATTAATATCTGAAAAAGTAGAAGCATGCTAAACTCTGACATTTAACACTTGACTTTCCTATATCTTGTCACTTTTAGCATTGAACAGTGAGCATTTATATGCATATGACCTTCATTTAACCAGGTTAGTCCGTTGAGAACTAATCCTCAATTTGAAGCTAGTTCAGCTGTTTATGGGGCAAAGAATGGTTGTCCTCACCGTGCATCCATCTTCCAGGACACTGTAGGTGAAACGGCTGTTGCCCTCGGCTCTGATCTCAATCTCGTTGGAGCCCTGGAGGAGGAGGGCCTTCTTGAGGTTGCCAGCGGCAGCATCCATGTAGGCAATGCTGTTCTTGCAGTGGTAGGTAACGTTCTGGGATGCTTCAGTGGACATGAGACGCAGGAAGGTCAGCTGAATGTTGACATCCTCTGGCAGAGAGCCCTCGCTGCCGTACTCAAACTGTGCAGAGAAGAAAAAAGAGAGAAGTGGTTACTGGGTGGAAGTGTGAGYGGAGAGACAGGAGTAAATAGGAGGAGAAGAAAGAGCTGGAAGAAGGTATGGAGAAGTGAGGCAGGGTGTAGGATAGAGGAGGTATAARTGAAATTAAATTAATTTCCATGAAATGATTTGAAGGGCATGGTGAAGTTTTAAATATAACTCTATCATGACTGAAAATGGAAATAAAGAAATTGAGGATGAAATAAATGTAAATGAAAGAATTGAATAATGGAGGTATGAATAAGGAAGCTTGTAGCTCAGGTAGCTTAGCATGTTTACCTGGAAGCCATCYTTCATAGCATCACCGAACCAGACGTGCTTCTTCTCCTTGATGTTCTTGCTCATGTACCAGTTCTTCTTGGCAACCTCAGGCTGAGTTGGTGTTACACAGGTCTCTCCAGTCTCCATGTTGCAGTAGACCTTGATGGCATCTTGAGTACAGCCCTGGTCTGGGTCAATCCAGTATTCGCCTGAACAACAGCAAAGACATCATCAAACCCTGAGAAAAGCATCTGTGTTTCTGACATTTTGTACCATGTGCAAAAAAAGATAAGTGTACAAGCAAAACATAAATCCTGAGTAATGGCAGAACAATCTGTTGCCACTTACCCACATACTACTAAAAACACTTACCGCTCTTCCAGTCAGGGTGGCACATCTTCAGGTCTCGGCAGGTTCTGGCAGGGTTCTTTCTGGTTCCATCAGGGCTGCGGATCTGCTCGATCTGCTGGCTCAGGCTCTTCAGGGTGCTGTCAACCTCCAGGTCGCGGTCACGGAGAACATTGGCATCATCAGCTCTGTATGAACGGAAGGGATCAGGACCCTTCTCCTGGGGCTGGGTAATGAAGCCAAGTTCAAAACCACCACCAGGGGCACCAGGTGCACCGGCAGGTCCAGGAGGTCCAGGAGGACCCTAAGTGATGAAAAGAGTTTGGTTAGTTCTTTACTGGCAGCTGGCTCCAARTGTAGGGAAAACACGACTCATTGTTAGACTCACAGCAGGTCCCATCTCTCCAGAACGTCCACGAGGTCCAGGAGGTCCGGTGGGTCCAGGAAGACCAGACATACCATCTTTACCAGGAGCACCAGCAGATCCAGAAGGACCCTACAATGAGCACAGAGGAAAATGTTAAAGATTGGACACTTCAGATAAATGAATCTATTTTGGAAAAACACGAGTTATTGTCTTACTCTAGGTCCAGCAGGTCCAGAAGTACCAGCAGGTCCTGACTCTCCAGAAGGTCCCTATGAGTGRGAACAAAAGCACAGGATTTAGAGATTTGGAGATGCACACTAGATATAATTAATGTATATTAATCAAGTCACATACAGGAGGTCCAGGAGGTCCCTGTGCACCAGTAAATCCTCTGTGTCCCTTCATGCCTCTCTCTCCAGCCTCTCCAGTTTCACCCTTGTCTCCACGAGCTCCAGCAGGTCCCTGTGAGGACAAAAAGATYAATATTGAGTTTTGTTTGCCTCCCACACAGATGTAACCACCTGCCAATGATGCTGGTGTTGTTACTTACAGCAGGGCCACGAGGTCCAGCAGGGCCAGCAGGACCAGCAGGGCCAGCAGATCCCTGAAACACAGAGAAACCAGTTTCATCCAAGGAAGTACATTTTAAATACACATGGCACTAAATGGTTAAGTTAATTAGTATTGAAAGTGACTTGGTCACTCACAGTCTCTCCGCGGTCACCACTCTTGCCAGCGGGTCCGACAGGTCCAGGGGCACCAGAGGGTCCAGGGGCACCAGGGGCTCCAGCAGGTCCATTCTCTCCACGGTCTCCCTAAAACCAACACATAAAAACATGGATATTGTCCTGTTTTGCTTGTTACCTGTATAGTAACTCTTTTCTACATTCAGAACTTCAGAAGCAGAAGATTCACACTCAGTAACCCCACTTTTACACTGCTAATTAAGCTACTGCATCAGTAATCCCCTATTTACTCAGGTACACAGAAGCTTACCTTAGGTCCAGCGGCTCCATCACGACCAGCGGCTCCCTCGTTACCGGGGGTTCCCTACAACAAAAACAAAGAAGGTTACCTAACAAGTAGAAAATAAAATAACTGTAGCAGAAAATCGAAACTGTGCAGCCTCATTATGCTTTAAAAGGTTTGTTCCTGGTACCTCACGTCCAGGCTCTCCAGGGGCTCCGGCCAGGCCAGGGGGTCCCATGGGTCCAGGAGGTCCACGCTCTCCACCAGGTCCAGCAGGTCCATGCTTTCCAACCTCTCCCTTTGGGCAACACATTTTCACGAGTCAGAATTTCCTGAGATAGTTGTCATCTGTTTCTTTTAGTGCTTCATATACAAAATCCTTTTTTTTGTTATTGAGTATATTTTTATACACAAGGTAAAACAGAGGTTRATTTTTAAAGGTGCTTAGTTTAACAGGGTCTGCTACATGTTTATAAAATAGTATATTATCTTAGCACAAAAAACTCACAGAAGGTCCGGGAAGGCCAGGGAATCCTCTCTCTCCTCTCTGTCCAGGCAGACCAACAATACCACGCTGTCCAGCAATACCTTGAGGTCCAGGAATACCAGCAAGTCCCTGCAAGAAGAAACAGAGAGTTGGAAATACAACATAAGGAAACCGGAAAGAGAAATAGACAGGAAACAATTCATATAGACCAGTTTTTAAATTATTTTTAGCCCAAAGATGCTAATTTTTATGAAGTAGGAAACTTACAGAAGGACCATCGGCACCGGGGCTACCCTTCTCCCCAGTAGGTCCTGGAGGTCCAGCAGCACCAATTTCACCAGGGCGACCAGCAGGTCCGGTCTCACCACGGTTTCCTTTGGGTCCCTCCTTGCCACCTGGTCCAGGAGGTCCGGGAGGTCCAGAGTTTCCCTAGAGGGTGGAAAAGGTGTAAACTGTAACAGTGCTGGAAACACTGCTTGGCATTTTACCTCAAGAGCAATGAGTGTTAAAAACATGTGAGAAAGACTTACAGCAGGACCAGGAGGTCCAACTCTGCCAGCAGCACCAGGGAAGCCAGTAGCACCCTAGGGAGAAAAAAAAATCACACCAGTTAACTGAGTCTAGAGAAAAACTGCATCAAGTCATTGCAAGTAAAAAAGATCAGTTAGAAAAAAAAKCCTGAAATCTAGACTACAGAGTGTAACACAAATAGCGACTCACAGGAGGTCCAGCAGGTCCACGGGCTCCTTTAGAGCCAGAGTTTCCAACGGGACCCTAAAAAAAAGAAAACMTTTACTTTTCATTCTGTCCATTTGTTATTGCATTAGAAACTGTGTTTAATATGCTTAGTTTAATACCTGAGGTCCAGCAGCACCAGTTGGTCCGGCAGGGCCAGGGGCACCAACATCTCCTTTGGGACCATTATCTCCAGCCTCTCCCTTAGCACCAGGTTGTCCATCAGCACCCTGTGGTGAAATAGAGGTTAGAGGAAATAAGCAAAAGATAACAAAATCTGAAAAATGCTGCAGCGATAACAAAGAGAAATGTTTACAGGAGGTCCGGCAAATCCAGCAGGTCCAGATGGTCCAGTTTCACCACGCTCACCCTGTTAAAAAAAGAAAAAAATGTTTATTCCATGTTTTGAAGATTCAGGGATAAGGTGTTTTGAAAACTTATTACTAAAAGTTTGCATTTTGGCAGACAAATTGAAATATTTTGCTCACAGGGGCTCCACGGGCTCCAGAAGGTCCGACAGGTCCAGGACCACCGGGTTCTCCCTTGTCTCCAGGTGCTCCAGCAGGTCCAGGAAGTCCAATTGGTCCAGTCAAACCACGTGGGCCATCTTTACCAGGAGATCCATCACCACCCTTAGCTCCTTGGTCACCCTGGATTGTTGGATGGAGATGTGCATGTTTTAGTAATCATGCAGCACATCTGATTGTGGGACATTTGAAATAACGATGCTCCAGCTGCTTAATACTTGTTAAAAGTTKCTATCAAGTGGTGAAAAATGTCAGAACTGTGTTTCATAATACCTCCCATTAAAGCAATTCTGACTGGACATTCTGAGCATCATACTGTATATAAATGGAAGAATTGAAGACTCACTCTGTCTCCTCTCAGTCCTGGAAGTCCAGCAGCACCACGCTCACCAGGCATTCCCTGCAGTCCAGGAGGACCCTGAGCTCCAGGAGCACCGGGGGTTCCAGCGTCTCCCTGAAGAAAAGAAAGAAGAAATTCTCAAAGTAAGTAAGATTCAGTTGATCTGAAAATCTACGTGAAATCTTCAAAACATCAAGTCAGCCAAGTTAACCTTGGCGCCTTCATTTCCGGCAGGTCCGGGGGATCCACGGGCTCCAGCAGGTCCAACGGGGCCAGGTGCACCACGCTCACCAGAGAATCCTCTATCACCCTGAGAGAAAGACAGAATGTGAGGTAAGTGCAGGTGAAAAGCAGGAAATCACGAGGACTGCAAGCTACAACTCTGGAGTTCATTGATATTGTTAAATTCAGTTTGGTAATTATTTGGTTGATAAAGTTTAATCATTCTACACTAAACAACTACTCATWTCATTATTTAATAATCCTCCAATGAATGCTCTTGGTGACAGATTATCAAGTGATTGTGACAATAGTAACCATAAGCGACTTACTCTTGATCCAGCAGGTCCTGGGGCTCCAGCCTCACCGGGCAGACCCTAAACAAAATGACATGTATGAGAAAGAAGCCCCTTTCCACAGTAGAATGTATCAATCTGATCGTAGTTTTTAGGTTTAGTCATGTCTCAGTTTTCACCTGCTCTCCAGGCTTGCCACTCTCACCAACGGCACCTTGGGGTCCTGGAAGTCCTTGGAATCCAGGAGCTCCAGCAGGTCCTGACTCACCTCTCTCACCAGCAGGACCCTAAATACGCACATAAAGAGTGTCAGATATAGTACTGACAACACTGGATCAGTAGAACKCTTCTTGGACCTGAAGTCCAAAGGTCCTGCTGGGAATGTGTGAGGGATCCATYTCATTTACTTACAGCTGGTCCACTAGGACCTGGAGCACCAACATCACCATCTTTTCCAGGAGCTCCCTGGAAATAATGAGGATATGTTTTTAGAGAGACAGATACTAGCCTGTTAGTGACAACAATTCAGCCAGTGGGAGTCACAGTGTAGACTACTTACAGCAGGGCCAGTGGGTCCCATGACTCCCCTTTCACCAGGCTTTCCACCTTCACCCTGAACACCAACAAATCAAAGAGGCAATGTGAAGAACCTGAGCAGGTGTACCATGCAGCTGTTGAAACCATACTCACAGCAGCTCCCTTGGGTCCAGGGAATCCCATGACTCCGGGCTGACCTCTAGCTCCAACAGGGCCAGGTGGTCCAGGGCGGCCATCTTGTCCAGGGGCTCCCTGGTAGGAAGGTTTAATTAAAATTAATTTAACAGCTGGATGRGAACAGATTAATGGGCTTAATGGTGCTGGATATCAACTTACAGCAGCTCCCATCTTGCCATCAGGTCCAGGACTGCCAGGGCTACCGGTCATACCCTACGGAGTAAAGGRCAGAGGTCAGACCTCAGTGTGATGACTAAATTACATTGATCACAGGTGGATTGATAGGGTATTTCACCTTAGCTCCTGGGAGACCAGGTTCACCAGTACGGCCAGGCTCACCAGTGGAACCTTTAGCTCCAACAAGACCAGGGGCACCGCGCTCACCAGTGGCTCCCTATAATTGCAAAGAAGAGATAAGTTGGTGGAAAAGATAAAGTGAGTTAAACTGAAATCATTCTTCATAATTCATGAAATGTATGTCTGGTTGTGCATGTATTTACTTTGGGTCCAGCAGGGCCGTCAGCACCAGGGAAACCACGGCCACCAGGAGCACCCTGTAAATAAGCAAAAACAAAACTTAATCTTACAAGAAAAAAAATTWAAACTGTCAGCTGATGTTGTGAGGTTGGATTGATAAAAAACAAACATTGAACTAGGYTGAATTCTGATTTGGATTCTGATTTCTGACACATGTTGCCCCCTGGTGGACACAGAGGACAACTGCAGATTTATTAATGTTAAAAACCTTTGAGGTCCATATTAAGGTCCCACAGAATGTTTGCGATATTTCCTCCAGACATTTGCATGAAACAAAATTAGCTTTTTGGTAAGAAAGCAGGTTTGGTTGTGTTTTTATGGCTGCAAATATTGGCGTTCTATTTTCTGTTAACGCATGGCATRACTACAGAGCCCTTCCTGTGACTCATATCTTTAATACATGCTTTTTAATAAACTGTTATATAGTAACAGTAATAGAGTAACAACTTGGAGAAATACATACACGCTCTCCAGGTGCTCCACGAGCACCTGCAGCACCAGGCTCTCCTCTGGCTCCTCTCTTGCCCTCCTCACCATGAGGTCCTGGGGGTCCGGCAACACCTGGAACACCCTGGAGGAAAAGCAGACCCAAAGATGACATCAAAGGCTGTATGCCTCAGATATGTTTTGAGCTTCGTACTTGGAGCTAATCTCAGGTGGACTTACAGACTCTCCCTTGGCACCGGGCTCTCCTTTGGATCCTGGGGCACCAACTTCACCCTGAGGAGCACGTGCAAATAAATAAACATAATGAAAACAAACTACAAACAAGCTGCTAATTAAAAATGATCAGTATTTGTTTAGATGTGAAACATTTGTTTAGATGTGAAACAGGGATGGAGAATTTATCAACAGAAATCAGTTTTTGACTCTTCCAGAGTGTCTGAAAAAGGTTTTAGTTTGTTTAATAGAGAGGTTTACTCACAGTGTTACCCTTGGCTCCAGGGGCACCAGCAGCACCCTGAGGTCCTGGGGGTCCACGTGGTCCAGGGAAACCTGGAGCTCCTGCAGCTCCAGCAGCACCCTGCAGGGGGCAGCACATGTCAACAACACAGTCATTAAGTGCAGATGAAATGCAGCAAAGAGTAAAACATTAAACATCACAACAGTTTTTAAGTGACTCACATTGAAACAAAAGACAAACAAACAAAAATAGTATAATAAATAATAAAAATAAAATAAAATAATAATAAATTTTGGAGAATTAGACTCACAGGGGCTCCTTTAGATCCGGGAGCTCCATCAGCTCCAGGGTTTCCCTGAAAACAAATAAAATAAAAAGTTTTATTATTTAAACCAACATAATCTGATTAATTTCACAACATTAGAAGTAAAAGCCTGATTGTTTAACATTATTATTATTTGTCTCATCAGACACTTTTTCTGCATATTTTCATCTGATCTTAGACTGTCTGAACTGTTTTCGATCTAGACTTACAGAAGGTCCAGCTGGGCCAGCAGGTCCAGGGTTGCCAGGCTCTCCACGAGTTCCAGAGGGTCCCTCAGATCCACGAGCACCCTGTGGTCCAACATCACCCTGGTAGCAGAGAAATAAAGTGATAAATAAATACATYAATGAAAAATGAAAGAATCAGAAAATAAATTAAATACAAAAACAACAAAAATGTTTTATGAATAAAATGTTTGCAGAAAAGAAAAAAATTAAAGTAAATATTTATTTCTTTAAAAATCATTCTGCGGTTTTCTGAGCCTCCAGCTACACATTCATACAAACATGACCTCAGTTATTGTTGCTAATACTGTATAATAAAGGCAATATACAAGTGTTGTTATAAATACAGTATATGGGATAATCTTTGGGAGTATTTTAACATGGCCCAAAGTCAGTCTGAGGACATTTTATGATAATCTTCACGGATGTGGGAAGGGAACAGATTTTGATGTTAGGGTTTAAAGATTTCATCACAAATATACCTTAGATCCTGGGCCACCAGGGAATCCAGGAGGTCCAGCAGGGCCAGTGGGACCCTAGGGGGGAAAAAGTAATTCAAATGAAAAAAACATATATATAYGTAATTATTTTCAGTTCTAATATGACAAAGATAAGATCTGCACAAAATCTAAACTTTAAAGATCCAGTGTGAGGGATATAGTGACATCTTGTGGCTGAAGTTGTAACTACAATRTACTAAAAAGTCCCACAATCTAATAATTCAACAAATAGACAGTATTTAGTCTAACTCTGTGGAAATAAAGACGGTGACCTGCAGCATGTTTGAATATGAATCTTTTCCTCTGAGAAAATGAAAACATTTCTTTATTTTCAACTGATTCTACACAAATGGACATAAAGTTATAAATATTTTCCTTTTTCTTCCAGTCAGACAAGTTTTTATATTTCACACTAAAACTTTAATGACAATTTTTTTGAAAACACAAGAACAGTTTATTAAGTAATTTCAGGGATTAGAGAATTGGACTTACAGGAGGTCCGGCAGCACCGGCAGCACCATCGTTTCCACGAGCTCCCTGCAGCGAGCAGACACCACAGATTAATGATTAATGACTGATGGATCAACACCATGCATCTGAGAGAGAGTGTGTGTGTGTGTGTGAACTCACAGCAGATCCAGGAGCACCAGTACGACCTCTCTCACCAGGCAAACCACGAGGTCCCTGAAAACAACAGAAACCAGTTAATTTAACCAGGACTGGATCAGAATAGTGGGTGAAACCTGTGTGGCGCTGTGAAGAACTGTTCTACTCACCATAGCACCAGGAGTTCCATTCTCACCAGCAGCTCCAGTTTCTCCCTAACCATGCAGACAAGAAGAACATTATCAACAAAACAAAATAACAGATTGTGAGAAACAATCCAAGTTAAATTTAAGCCTTAAAACTCAGATTATCTCAGATTATCTCCACTTCTACAGCTTTGATTCTGGGTATTCAGGTTAAATATGTCTGAGCTTCAGGAAAGAGCAGAACTTCTCACTGCAGGTACGTATCCTGATATCCAAACCAACGGCTATTGTAACTAAGATGACGTCACACTGCTGCTAAAACTGTCAAAATAAAAAAGGAAACATTTGGAAGCACCAGTCAACAAAGATGGGGGACTCACCTTGGGTCCAGCAGGGCCAGTATCTCCTTTAGCACCATCAAGACCACTGAATCCCTAAAGAAGAAAGAAGACACAAAGACTAAGATCCAAATCCCGAGGGGCTTCTCTGTTGGATCTGAACTGAACCGGACTGTACTCACTCTGTGTCCCTTGATGCCAGGCAGTCCAGGGGTTCCTGGGAAACCACGAGCTCCCTGAGAGAAAAGTATAGAAARGTTTTGTGTTTGCTGAAGTTTTCTTTTTACTTTGGTTTACTTAGGAATGAAAACATCTATAAATCCACCTGTGGTCCGGGAGGTCCACGCTCACCAGCACGACCAGGTTTTCCAGCCTCACCCTGACAGCAGGAGAGAGGTGAAGAGAAACTGTGTTAGTCACTTAACCTTTGACTTTTCTGGAGAAAACAGAAACACGCTCAGATGTTGTCCACTTACGTCTTCTCCGTTCTTTCCAGGAGGACCAGCTGGTCCACGTGGACCCATGGGGCCCTAAAGAAAAAAAGAAAGAAACAGCTAAAATCAGACTGGCAACAAACAAGCCAACTGAAAAACAGGTGTGTATTTTTGATGTTTTTAATACTTACAGGAGCTCCGGCCTCTCCAGACTCACCAGGAGGACCAGTGGGTCCCTGTGGTCCCTGTAGAGGGAGACACACACACACTTTTATTTTCACACTTTTACTTGTAACATAGTCTGAGTCGGAGTCAGTTCTTTTTGTTACTTTTTTCTTTTTTTTCTGTTTTATATATTTGACTTCTGTGCAGATAGAAGCTTTCATCTAAAGTTGTCTTTTTATCTACCTTAATATATTTCAACTGACTGATTATCTAAAAGCTCAAAATGCTCAAGCCTTTTGTACTGATGAGAAGATTTTAAATATTTTTTTACCACAATGCTGTAATGAGCAGATGCAAAGGAATCAATGAAAATGAGAAACATTTGGCATGAAACCAAGACGCTGTTGTTTGTTTGAAGCTAAGAAGTATTTAAGTTTTTACAAGTTCAAAGAGCTGCAGGGTGGAGTTCAAACCAAAGATAAAGTCAAATGTCATCTCTAGCCTCTAACTGACACGGGAACTTAAAATAATCCAACATGTTTTATATTTACTCTACTTTTACTAAGAAGTTTGAAGTTTTAGCTGAACCTAAATATTTTTTACAGATGATATTATGTTCTTTTTGTAAAACAGACAATTAGATTCATGATCTCAGATAAATGAGCTTAAATAACACTTCTTCTTAAGTTTTGTTTTTATACTTTTTAGGACAAACTCAAATAAATCAAAAATAACTGACTCATGGGAGAAGCTTTATATCACCCGAGTGGTCAAGATAGGATAATATTTTTGTTAAATTATTTCATAATTGATTGTTTCTGAGGAAGGAAAAAAGATGCACTCACGCTAGAACCAGGAGGTCCGGGGGGTCCACGAGGTCCCATTGGGCCCTGTCAGTCAAATAAGGTTGATGTCAGCCTCATATCATCAGGGCTTACAGTAGAATGAATCTTTATTAATGTGGATGTCCTACCATAGGTCCAGGCACGGGCATGGAGGGAGATTTCTCATCATAACCACCAGACATCTGAGGGGAGAAGTTCTGAAAAAACAAACAAACAAATACTTTAACAAGAGGGAGATCTCACAAACACCTCACATATGAAACATTTGAAAACCTGTTCATAAAAATTCTTGACAAGATAGAGTAATACTTGCTAGTGGTGTTTTATTATATTTGTTTCACATGACATTATTTAGTGATTTAAAACATTGAAACCAAAAACTATTAAAAACTTCAATAAATGTGTAGATGTACCAGTTTATTGCATCACCTGTGACCTTTGACCTCACACTTTACTGCTGATGCTCATTAAATGATTGACATCATCTTTTAAAACTGTTTATAATGGAAAATGATTTAAACGCTGGTTTTGCTAGCTTAGCATAAATGATTTGATGTTAGGTTAAAGGATAAACAACATGACAGAATAAATAAAGGTATTAGAAGTTTAACACGACAAATGTTTTTCTATTAATGTCCGGGAATGTTGGCTTGTTATCCAACAAACTGCTACCGTCTGATGTAATTCCTAATTCTGAGCCATGAGACTTAAATAAAAAGTGGAGAATAGACACAGTTAACTAACATGGTTCCTCTTGGACTCAGACCTGCCAAATACCAAATAAAAAACAAACTGGAACATCTTCAAATCTATGACTCAAAAAATTGGACATTTCCAACCTCAAAATCCAAAATGGTCAACTAAGGCCTGAGCAGCTGTAACATCTGCAGTTCTAACTTTTTTATTTTCATCTCTTGTTCATTTGTTTCTTTGTAAATCAGTCACACACTGTCAACATGTTGCTACGGGGTGTGAAGAGAAGTCCACTGTGTTTTGCTAATGCTAGTTAGCAGCTGATGTGCCGTTCAGGTGGGTTTGACTTCAGACCCAGATCAGAGTTCTCAGGTTACTGAAACATCATGTTAGCTTAGCTTAAAGAATTAGCATGTGACCATACACGACGACTGTTTCAAAGAAAATCCAGTGTAACCAAAAGCTGTTAGCTCAGACATGAATGAGAGAGTTTTAGTTGTGTACAGCTGCTGTGAAACTCCAATATAAACCAAGAAAAAAAACAAAACTACTCCTTTTATATATTTTACTTCCTTCTCTGCTGCATGTGAAACAAAGTCTGGACCCTTTGACCTTGGTCTAAAGATCCAAGTCCATGACCGACATAGTCTTCTTTAGATTTTATTTATCTTTTTTTTAAAAATATAATACTGAAGCTTCAGTTCAACATGACTTTGACCTATATATACATACATTTACATATATTGATGTAATTTAAATTCATAAGAATGAGTCTATTGTTTGTGCTGCATCAGTGCTGGAAGAACCTTTCCCTGTAATATGTGAGCACCACAGAGGAAGTCACTGCTGGGAGCACATGTTATGACTCATCTGCCCACACTGGGTTTAGACTCCATGATTTAGATCTCAAACAGGAAACACAGAAAACACAAAAAATAACAACTTACTCCACCGAGACCAGGGGGTCCAGGAGGGCCGGGAGGTCCTGGAAGACCAGGCTCGCCATCAAGACCGTCTCTACCAGGGGGACCAGCAGGGCCCTGCAGACAGAGGAGGTGTCAGTTGGGTTCAGGGCTCTGAGACCAACAGGTTCAGATCCAAAAACAATAAAACAACTTATTGTTGTTTGTGTTGTATCCTCTGCTTAGGTTTTCATATTCTTTGTTGTTTCTTTTTAGATTCAGTGATGAAACAGTAAAGCTCAACAACATGGAGCATCCTCCTGAGCGACCACTGAACCAATCACAGATGGATAAGCAGAGGTCATGTGACGTCAGCGTACAGGAAGTGGTTGTGGACACCGGCTGAATAGGTGAGGATCAAACAAACTAATGATGSATCAAATTAAAACACTAACTTCTCTGTTCAGCAAACAAGTGACTCAGAATCAAATAAAAATCCAACAAAACATAATTTTAGGTAAATAATAAAGATTAAACCACTTAATGTCCTGCTGTGCCAGACAACTTTACAGCTTGTAAATAAGAAGCATTTTCATTAAATACAAATACAACTAATGTAACAAAACAATACATAGATTGGACAAAAACAGTGTAGCTGTTGACATTTGACTCAAACACATTTGTTCCTGTTCTCATTATTTGTTGTGAAGAAATGAACCTGACCTCATTACGTTTTAGCACATTTTTCTGTTTTTTTCTTTCTTTCTTTAACTATAAATTGAAAAACTCTCTCAGTCCAGAAGCAAAGTGTAAATAAAATTAAACATATTTAAAGGAAATTTAAACACAAATACAACAAAGCAATGACACTAAGGTAAAAGAAAAGCTTAACGGAACAAAGTAAAACATCAAAAGGCCCAACGTTTGACAGGCACAGATGTTTGTTTTCAAAGAACGTCCTCACAGCATTGGGACTGAACTAACCCTCATTCTGTTCTGTTCTCCAACATAAACACAAGAACCCAGCCTGACCAACAGAAAACCAGACATTAACAGGCCAGCCAACAAAAAATAAGGGACAGAATGTGGGCCTACCCTCTCTCCCTTGGGTCCTCGGTCTCCTCTGGGTCCCTGTGGTGAAAACAAACACAGAGGGTCTGTTATCCTGAACAAACTGCAGAGACAGAACTGATCTGAGGACTTCTACCCCTCTTTTGATCCTTTTTATTTAATTAGCTGTAGCAATCAACAACATACCATGCCATAGCACCTTTTAGCTTTAAATATAATTAATTAATAACAGACGTATTTTTGTAAAGTTAAAAAAAGTATTTACCTCTACCTCAGCAGCCTGGTAGCCTGAAATGTAAACACACACACACACATAAATATTTATAAAATCAAATAATTAAAAGAATCAAAATCATTCTGTGAAGATTTCCATCTATTAAACACACTAAAGGTTGAATTAAAGTATTTATAAAGGCATGAAAATGAGGTAGAGTAAGAATAATGTATAAATAGTTTGAATTCTTCACTAAAATACAATGAAGAATGTGATAAATGTTGAGTATTAAGCCATATTTATTGAGTTTGGATGTATAAATGGGAAACATATTGGTTACAATTCAGTTCAGTTTTTTTATAAAGCACCAAGTCGTCTCAAGGCACTGCACAAAAACACTCACATACATTATTAAAGCCAGCTAGTGAAAGTTATGTGTTTATATGACTGCATTGGATCTTCACTTCGTTGCAGTATCCTCACAAGACTTGCAACAACATGTTGTGATCGACTGAAGGGCAGATGGGATTTTACCGTCGTCGGGGCAGATGGCGCAGCACTCGCCCTGGGGAACGATGGGGTTGGGGCAGTCGGTTGGTTCCTCACAGTGAACATCGTCGCACATCACCGTGCCGCTGTCACAAACGCAGATCTGACATGGTTCTGGTTTCCACACATCCCGGTCCGCAAACACCTGGCCGTCCAAGGTGCAGCTGGTACTCGTGCCTGCAGGGAGTGACATGGAGGGGTGAGGAACCTGTAGACCCTAATCAGCTTTCATAATCACGCTTTCTGTTGTTCAAAATGAACAACAGAAAGAAACTAATATCATTAATAAGATGCTTTAATGTTTACATTGTTAGTTGTTACTGGATTAAATGTTAAATCTCATGAACTAAATAAACTGATTTGTTCTTATGTTTTGTAACAAAAGCAGTTTACTTTTGTTATAAAACTTGTTTTGATAAAAACTCTACAATAAGGAAATGGTTACAGAGTAAGGCTAAGTGTTGAGGTGGATCTAGATGTGAATTAGACCTGAGGGTCAGGGGTGACAGAGGGGTCACCTGTGACCTGAGTCTGGGTTCAGGTCCTGTTTTCTGTTCACACCACAAGGGTTAGATGTCTCCAGGTGACTTTTCCTGCTGCTGAGCACTTCCGCCCTAAAGCCTCAAACCTAACTGGGTTTTCATTTGATCGGTTTCAACAGAGTGCCAAAGTGCTGAGCTCAGAGAGCAGCAGCAGCGTCGCAGGCTTGGCAGCCGCCGGTGGAAACACAACATGTGTTTGCAATTAAAGGGAAAAAAGAAGAAGTGGAAAAAAGAAAGAAGGCGGAGGGTGAAAGTGGGAAGTGTGGGGGGACGTGGCAGCCAGATGTGTCTGCAGGAGTCAAGACGAGCCTCCAGGTGTCGCTGTGAGACCGTCCACGCAGACAGCACATCTGCTTCAGATCCACAGCTGAGCTCCTTCCAGTCAGGAACATCTGGGAAAACTGAATTTCATCTCCACAGTGCTTGTCCCAAGAGCTGAGCTGGGCTTTTTTTGTTCTTTTAGAGGATAAAAACTTATTTACCCCTCTGTCTGTGCTCCATGGTGTACCTCAGAGTTTTCAGATTGTTAATCTATCCTGAGGACAAGACTCAACTCCTGTTTTCTCTCATTATAACTCCTCTGATCAGCTGTTCAGCCTCAGGCTGTTGAATTATTTTGCCACATCAGTCAGGCCTGTGAGAGGCCTCTCCTCAGAAGCCAAAAACCATCTGGGCTGCAAAGTTAAACTGATCTGAGAAGTTCATGTCCAGAAAAAAGTATTGGTTATTTTAGTTTTATAATACTAAGTTATGGAGGATGGTCAAAATCTGCTAAATCTGTCTGTTCACTGAAATTATTCCATTAAAAAAAACTCCCCTGGAGGAAAGCCTTAAAAAACTTGCAACAACTTGCTCTGATGGCTTCTTGGGAGGGAGGGAGGTGGAGGGAGTGAGAAAAAAACACAGAGAGGAAAGATGGAGGCCTTGTTGAGATGCCCAACGCATGACGCACACCCTGTTCTGTCTGTCTACAGACAATGAAGAGTCAGCCTTCTAATTTTTTATTTTGTGCTTTCTCCTCTTCTCTCTCTAAAGTCTCAGCAGCCGTCCAGCCACGAAGACAAAATCCAACCTTCAGAAAAACACTTAAAAAAAAAGGAAAAAAAAAAAGCAGAAAACAGGCTGAGGATCTCCAAGAAATAGTGCTGAAACTTACGGTCGTCCTCGCCCTGCGCCCTGACCAGGAGCACGGCTGCACCGAGCAGCAGCGCCAGCCGCAAATCCACAAAGCTGAACATGTCTAGATGCCACCAGACATGTAGACTCTTTGAGGCAAGAGAGGAAAAAAGTGTTGGGGATGTTTTCTCTTTCTGCTAAACTCCACTCATATGTTTGGGGGAGGATCCGTGCGTCTGTCCAAAGTCCTCCTGACCCCAACAGAAAACTCCCAACTGCCTGCACTCATTTTCCACCAGGGCTTTTATATGGAAGCCTAAAGAACTGGGAGGTACTGGGGACTGGACCAGCTGGGGGGACGCACCCTCCTCACCCCGCTGCTGCTGCTGCTCACGTTTAGGGAAGACAAGAAAGCACACCTCCTTCAAAGATTAAAAAAAATCAACAAGCAGCAGGTCCCTCCTTCCATAATTACACAGCAAGTCTGGATGAGAGGAAGGGGGGGGCGTCTGAGCTGGAGGAAACCTGATCCACATGAGGACTGGAGGGTCAGAGGAGGATCTCCTTCTGCAGCAGCTTTAATCCACATTTTGTGTTTGGTTGTAGTCTATTTCCTCATTCACTTTGATTTCACCAAATTAATTTTAAGACTTTGCTTTGTAATCTGTTAGCTTGGTTCAGCTTCAGGTTCTGGTTTTATTGTTTGGTTCAGAATGTGCTCCAGATGTTTAAGGTTTTCAGCTGTCACAGGGTTAAGATGGCCTGATCATGGCTGCAGACATGTAGCTGTTCTGATTCAGTTTGTAACTGCTTTAATTTGACGCTTTTCTGCTTTCAAACAGGAAGTAAAAACTGTTTGTGAAACTAAACTATTGGATGTATTACAGCAGGGTTGTTCAACTTTATTTCCAAATAGGGCCATAAAGAAAAAACACTGGGGGATTTATGGGCCACAGGTAATATTTACCATCTGCTACTTAAAGGCGACGGCAGGCGAAAATGTTTTTGACAATGTCTGTGTGTGTTTGTTACTAAATATCTCATTATCCAGTAGACAACGTTTTAAATAAAACTTGCATAAAGTAATTTATAGATTGATATCTATTTGATTAACCTTTAGAGTCAACTCCATTAAAGATGGCTGCCACATCAACTGACTCAAATAAACTGTAAAATGCCTTCATCTGAGTCAATTTTACAGATAATCAGCTGAAATTTGGTGTGGTAGTTAAGAGTGATCCATGACACATTTTCTGTCACCTCTGTGATTTAACAAAAATATTTCATTAAGATGCGCTTCTACAGTTACCTTTATGAGTAATCAATATGGTCGCCACATCAACACCAGAATTGTTTTAATTTAGTTAGTTGATACTGAGCGAACATTCGATGCGATAGTAGCTGAGGGCTGTTCACGGCACAAACTCTGAGAGTGACATCAGCATTAGCATTAGATTGCACTTTTATTTCTAAGATTTGACCAGAACGACAACAACTTTTATATTTCTCAACAAAGTGTTAAAGACTTTGCAGATGGCAAAGTGAACAAAAACTACATTTTAGTCCATTTGCATTGAAAGGGTCAAGTTTTAGGCAACATCCGGATGCTTGTATTGAATTAAGCTAAGGTTGTTGCCTTCGTTTGTTTTGCAGCTTCACTGTCTTCTGGTCAGATTGATAGGTCAACTTAAGGTATAAAAGTAAGGGTTAGGGTTTTTAATATCTAACAGTCCAATGATTTACATACTTCTGTAGCAGAAGGAGTCTTAGTAAACAACTGTATATTATGTGTGAGAGGGGTTTTTTTAGAGTCAGAAAAACATCCAACATTTGGATTTGTAGCTGTACAACAACATTCATAGGTTTACTCTCACTGGCCTGCTGTCATTCTGGAAGAGTTGGTGACTGAAATGGGGAGAAAATTATTTAGTCAATCTTACTGAATTGTGAGGGTTTCTGACCAAGTGACAAATGAGTCAAAAACAGGCAGTTTATGAATATCTTGATTTATTATTGTGTGCTTGGCTTGGACAAATGTGAACTGTGCGCAATATTTTTTTGCTCATATTACTCCTGCCTCGACTCTCTTAGCAGCCACCTCAACTTTTAGTATTTAATATACTGTAGTACACTTTGTAAATGACAATTTGTACCTTATTTTGTTGTCACAGAGAAGTGAAACACTGGCCTGAGTAGTTCATAGACTATCCTGATTTAGGTTGCTAAAAACCATATCAGTCCAACAAAAAGATTCAATTCAGTTTATTTATATAAAGACACAACCAAGACACAACATACATTGTCTCAGGGCACTGTAAACGAAAAAAAAAAAAAGAGAACAATCTAAAGAAGAAGCCAGCAGATTGTGTTGAATCACTTCATCACAGTCTCCCATCCTGAACAAACGGTGGAGAGGAAAAACTCCCTGCTAATCAGGAAGAAACGTCCAGCAGAACCAGGCTCAGGACATCTGCCTCGACCGGCTGGGTTGGGGGATAGGAAAGAAACGAGATGCAAGAATGCTGCAGGTTCTCACTACATTTATTGGTGGAAAATGTCGATTTTCATTTTTTAAAATATTTATTATGATTGTGCACCTCTAACTCTAAGGCTATGGTCCACAGTTGGAAAAGAATGGTTGCTCTTGTACCAAGTCAGGAGCTATAGGTCATGTCATATCAGCATGACACTACAATCATAAAACACATGTGCTGCTGCCACTGTCACCTTAATGAGTGTAGCCCAGGCATGAGGTCAGAGGGGTCAGGCTTTAAATTCTCCAGAACCAAACCATGCTGGTACAGGCAGGCCCCATATCATGGATCCACTACCACCATCCTCCTGTCAGAACTCTGATACAACTCAGCATGCTCCTCCTCTCAGGACCATATCACTCTTGGATAGTGTGATGGTGTCACCTACTCTCTACTAGCTCTCACAGCTTTCCTGATCACAGTAAAAGTATTATTTCATGAAATATATTTCCCAAAAGTCAAAGCATCTTGATTTCTCAGTTGAACCACCTGATAACCCTGTCACATATAGCAGACAGTAGACTTTTAGTGAGTAGCTGACGGTACCTCTGTTTTAAAATCCCACCACAACCTGGCTCTAGATAATAAAAGCCTTTTTTGGCCTCTGCATATCCCCCCCAGTCCAAATACAGGTAAATATGGGCATTTCTCTTGTCCCCCCACACCCAGAACGCTTCATACAGCGCCTTGCCGGCTGCAGGTGAGCTGTAATTAGGCAGAGAGCAGACATTATGGAGCAGATGAGCTGCAGGGAGAAAGGCAGCAGCAGCTCTTTGCCATCTGAGCCTCCAGCAGCAGACACGTAGCACAGTCTGAGGCTGGCCAAGTAAGCCTCTAATTCCCTCCCCCTCTCTCCCTCTGCCTCGCATATACACACTCATACTTCCACATTGTCCATGTGTCTGCCTGCTCTTTTTTCTTTTCTTTTTTTTTCCACTCAGCAGATGGAATGCAGTCAGGCTGTCTGTCATAGCAAAAGAGAAGAAGAAGAAAGGAACGCCACCTCATCATTCCCTGATTCAAACTGCAGCTCTGATCAGATCCCCAGACCCCCCCCCCCCCACACACACACACACACAAACACACATAAACACACTGAATTACATTCTCTTGCAGCCTTTTTTTTCTTTTTTTGGGGGGGGGGGTATTACACCCACATTTTGTCTTCACACTTCAAAACCTTTCCTATTGTTTTTTTTTTTACAACTGAACCAGTAAAAACAAAGATTTCACAGCTGAATGTGTATGTAATATGTAATAAATCAAACCTGATGAAAACTATAAAACAAACAAAAACATCACATTATTAAGGCAAAACACTAGCTGAATTAAGCAAAAGGCTAAATTCTAAAAAGGCTATCTAAAAATGTAAAAGAACCTTAAGAAGACCAAAACAGAGAAAGAATTATTTCTGAAAAAGCTCTATATCCAAAATAAGAACATAAGAGAAAGAGAGATTTTAAAAAATGGGAACACTTGTTTTGTTAGGATGAAATGTCCATAGATGAACCTTTGACCTGCTCAGGTTGTAGTCCACCTCTCACACAAAGACTAGGCACACAAATAAATGGATGGGTGGTCATTTTCAACATGTTTGTTAGATGTAAACAGAACAGCCTGATGCTAATATCCAAAAAAATTCAGCCAAAGTAAAGTAACTTTGTGTACACTACTTTTATTGTTCCAAGAGGTTCAAGTAGGTTATATAGTGAGAATTTTTTAAAATGACAGTGGAAATTTTGAACACTAGTTAACTCCCTAGTTTACAAGTGGATTCAGCTGTTATCAGCACAGATTGTTTAAAACAAGATTTTTGATTCCCTGACAGCAACCCTTAGTATCATTTAAAAAAAAGCATCATCAGGGGAGCACGGTGGCTCAGATGGTAGAGCTGTTCCCTCTCAACAAGAAGGTCACTGAACAGAATCCCGGCTCGGGTCCTTTCTGTGCAGAGTTTGCATGTTCTCTCTGTGCATGAGTGGGTTTTCACAGGTTCTCTGGTTTCCTCTTACAAACCAAAAACAGGATTTTTTAACTAAATTGTCCCTTTAGTGTGAGTGGGAGAGTGAAAGGTTGTCTCTATGTGGCCCAGTGATGGACTTGTGACCTGTCCAGGGTGTAACCTGCTCCTCGCACTGTGACTGCTGGATATGGGCACCAGTGACCCTCGTGACCCTGAAAGGAAGAAGCAGGTATAGGTAATGGGTGGATGGATATTTCATCAAGTTGATTCCTGAAATATTTTTGAACCAGTGGGTCCTCTAGTCCTGACAGATGCACAGATAACATACCTTCTGCTCTCTGTCAAATGGTAAGTTTTAAACATTTTTCTCTTGAGGCCTCAGGTTATTGAAATAAACAACACTGTCATTACAGATGCTTTTGAAATACTGCTTTCATTACAGACAAATAACTGGTTGTTTGTTGGATACAGGGCTCAGTGACACGCTTCACATTTTTTACAAGACATTTTCACCTGTTTTGTTCCACAAAGTAGACAATTTATGTTGTCTTATAAAAAAGGTTTACTTCCAAATTATTAGAGTGCAGCTAATAGTTACTAAAAAGTTGCTTTGGAGAAAGGTCTTAAGAAGGTTTTGGTGGTCTTAAATTTAAGACAGAGTATAAGTGAAAATCTAGCCAGGCTAAATAGTATTTTTGAGTTTCACAGCTGGGAATTAGGACCAAAATCTATTAATTAAATTAAAAATTCCACAGACTGAGCTTCATTGAACACAAATAAGATATGCAACCAAAACTATCAGTAATAATAAAGACCAAGACTCCTTTCACTCTGGACGATGACAGCATGAAACATCAGCTGTTTAATTAACATCAAGTCATTTAGTGGAGTCAGATTCTTCTAAGATGACCAAGTTTGTAAATGCAACATGAGGTATGAAGGACCCAAAGATGGAGACTTTCACCAGGAGTCCAGAAGATGTTTTAATAATAATGAAACAAAGTTGGTGTGGCAGCAAGGTAACAAAAGAGCACAGCATGGACAAGGGGTGAAGCCACAATGGCAGACTGCAAATGAGAGAAGTTATAATTAATATGGAGAGGTTGATGAGGTGAGGAGAATCAGGTGACTTAATGATAACAGGGAGCAGGTGTAAGAAGAGGTTGGGGCAGGACTGTAGAGCTGGAGCTGACTGAGGAAAAGTACTGAAGGTGGCTGGAAACAAAATAAACACAGAGAAAACATTAAAACAAACATCACAGGAGACAAAGATAAAAACACTAACTCAAAAGCTCACATGTGAAATTGACTCTAATCCCACCACAACCTGCCTTTCTGCTTTTCGGCAGCACGGCGGATCAGTGGTTAGCACTGATGTCTCACAGCAAAAAGGTCCTGGCTTCGATCCCCGGTTCAGACCTAGGGTCTTTCTGTGCGGAGTTTGCATGTTCTCCTCATGATTGTGTGGGTTTTTTRTGAGTATTACAGTTTCCCCCACATCACAAGAATATGTACAACAGGTTGCCTTCAGGCCACCCTTGTGAAAGAGATCTGCAACTTCAGTCGGATTCACCTGGTTAAACAAAGGTAAAAAAAAACAACATTATAATACATTTT